TTTGTCCTACATACTGGGTAGCTGGCAACATTTGCCTTTTGGCAGCCTCATTTCTTACACAGGTTCCATTTGAAGCTGTCCCTGATCTTAGTAGGTCAGTTTCACACACCGAGAATCACCCCACATCTTCCACTCGTCTTACCTACCTATACTGTTTTCCAAGAAGCCTGTAATTCAAGACTCAGCTAGAAAAAGGTCATTTCCCATGAACTAACAGTATCTTTCCCAGCTGGAGCCATGGCTCATGCCTGTAATCCCAATATTTTGGAAGGGTGAGACAGGCAGATCGCCCAAGCCCAGGAGTTGACCAGCCTGGACAACAAAGTGAGACTCCATCTCTACAAAAAATACAAAAGCTAGCTGGGCATGGTGATGCGTGCCTGTGGTCTCAGCTACTTGGGAGGCTGAGGATGGAGGATCACTTGAGCCTGGGAGGTTGACTGAGGCTGCAGTGAGTTGTAATTGTGCCACTGCACTCCAGCCTGGGCAAGAGTGAGACCCTGTCTAAAAAAATAAAATGAAAAGCCCACATAGCCAAGACAATTCTAAGCAAAAAGAACAAAACTGAAAGCATCATGCTACATGACTTCAAACTATATTACATGGCTACAGTAATCAAAACAGCATGGTACGGGTACCAAAACAGAGATATAGATCAATGGAACAGAACATAGGCCTCGGAGGCAATGCCACACATGTACAACCATCTGATCTTTGACAAACTTGACAAAAACAAGCAATGGGGAAAGGGTTTCCTGTTTAATAAATGGTGTTGGGATAACTGGCTAGCATTGTGCAGAAAGCAGAAACTGGACCCCTTCCTGACACCTTACACTAAAATTAACTCCAGATGGATTAAAGACTTAAACATAAGACCTAACACCATAAAAACCCTAGAAGAAAACCTAGACAAAACCAGTCAGGACATAGGCATAGGCAAGGACTTCATGACCAAAACACCAAAAGCATTGGCAACAAAAGCCAAAATAGACAAATGGGATCTAATTAAACTTCAGAGCTTCTGTACAGCAAAAGAAACAATCATTAGAGTGAACTGGCAACCAACAGAATGGGAAAAAATTTTTGCAATCTACCCATCTGACAAAGGGCTAATATCCAGAATCTACAAAAAATTAAAACAGATTTACAAGAAAAAAGCAAATCCATTCAAAAGGGTGAAGGACATGTACAGGCACTTTTCAAAAGAAGACATTTATGAGGCCAACAAACATATGAAAAAATGCTCATCATCACTGGTCATTAGAGAAATGCAAATCAAAACCACATTGAGATACCATTTCACGTCAGAATGGCGATCATTAAAAAATCTGGAGACAACAGATGCTGGAGAGGATGTGGAGAAATAGGAACATTTTTACACTGTTGGTGGGAGTGTAAATTAGTTCAACCATTGTGGAAGACAGTGTGGCAATTCCTCAAGGACCTGGAAATAGAAATTCCATTTGACCCAGCAATCCCATTACTGGATATATATCCAAAGGATTATAAATCATTCTATTATAAAGACACATGCACACGTATGTTCATTGTGGCACTGTTGACAACAGCAAAGACCTGGAACCAACCTAAATGCCCATTGATGATAGACTGGACAAGGAAAATGTGGCACATATACACCATGGAGTTCGTGTCCTTTGTAGGGACATGGATGAACATGGAAACCATCATTCTCAGCAAACTGACACAAGAACAGAAAAACAAACACCACATGTTCTCATAGGCAGGTGTTGAACAGTGAGAACACATGGACACAGGGAGGGAAGCATCACCCATCCTCTGTTGCAGGGGAGTAGGAGAGGGACAGTGTGGGGTAGGGAGATTGGGGAGGGATAACGGGGAGAAATGCCAGATATAGGTGATGGGGGGATGGAGGCAGCAAACCACATTGCCATGTATGTACCTATGCAACAATCCTGCATGCTGTACATGTACCCCAGAACCTAAAGTGCAATAATATATATATATATATATAATACAATAAAAAAATAAAACGAAAAAGAAAATAAATGGTGTCTTTCCTAATGCGTGGGTTGCCAGTGGTCCTTCACAACTCAATCTCATCCTGGTGGATGCCACTTCTGCTAACACTTGTACTTATATATTGCTACGGCTTAAAAAAAAAAAAAAAGTCATTACCTGCAGGTGATATGGGTTAGACACCAGTTCTAGGGCTGATGGGGAGAGAGGAATTAGGAGACCATACAGGTGTTGGAAGTGGACCCTGCAGGTCTATTAGCAAACATGCCCACCCTCCAAAGGCTGGCAGAGCAAAAGAGGTTACATGATGAAGCAAAGAAGCAACCAAAGGATGACAGCTGTAGTGACCTCAGGACCTAGGACTGAGATGTGGAGGAACAGGGTGACCAATGGAATGTGGGGACAGAACGGAACGTTGAGGGAAGGCCTCAGAACTGGAAACCATGGCTACAGTGTTGATGAGAACGCCCAGCTGCCTGGACCAAAATCCAGTGCTGAAGAGCCATGCCAGACGTCTGAGAGGAGCTATGTCCATGTCGGCCCCGCTGGACAGGTGAGCTGACCGCCCTCCCCTCAAGCTGCCAGTTCAGGTGGAGACCACGTCACTGGGTAGTGGAGGTTCATTCCTTCTTTATTGTGTTTTTTTTTTTTAATTGTGGTAAAGTATATGTAACATAAAATTTACCATCTTAGCCATTTAAGTATACAGTTTAGTGGCAGTAAGTACATGTAATTGTTGAGTAACTGTCATCACTGTCCAGCTCCAGAACTTTTTATCTTCCCCAAATGAAACTCTGTCCCCATGAAAGACAAACTCCCCCATTACTTCCCGCCAGCCCCTGGCAACCACCACCTACTTTCTGTCTAGGAATTTGACTCTCTATTACAGGTATGTCCTGTATGGGCAGCCAGACAGCATTTGTCCTTTTGTGATTGGTTTCTTTCACTCAGTGTAATGTCTTTGAGGTCCATTTGTGTGGTAGTCTGTGTCAGAACTTCCTTCCTTTTGAGATTATGGATAGAAATCATATTTCTGGTGTCAGTAGAGACCACATTTAGCTTCCATTGCCTGTGAGTGGGCACTTGGATTGTTTCCACCTTTGGTTACTGTAAATAATGTTGCTATGAACATGGGTGTAGAAATATGTCTTTGAGTCCATTCTTTCACTTCTTTTTGGATATGCACCCATGCACACAAACACACACACACAAACACACACAAGGAGACACACACACACATATATAAAACAACATCCATATTTGTACATTCCTTTGCATCCTTTTCCCACTTAACAGTGTCAATTTCCTGGATTAAAATGCTTTTGAAGACTTCACTGTAAATGGTTGAATAATATGCTGTATCCCCTGGAATAATGAAGTTTACTTAAGCATCCATATTGCTTCACATATTATCTCCAGATTTCTCTTATTCCCAATGTCAGCAACACCGCTGGTGAGCATCAGTGCCCAGACAGTTTGATCCCACTTCTCTGATTTGTCCACTAGAATTGATTACAAGAAGTGGGAGATTGGGTCAGGAGACACCCATGTTTTTCTTTTTGATAATATATATGTATTTTTCTGAGACAGAGCCTCACTCTGTTGCCTAGGCTGGAGTGCAGTAGAGCTATCTCTGCTCACTGCAGCCTACACCTCCCGAGTTCAAGCAATTCTCTTGCCTCAGCCTCCTGAGTAGCTGGGACTACAGGCGTGTGACACCATGCCCAGCTAATTTTTGTATTTTTAACAGAGACGGAGTTTCATCATGTTGGCCAAGCTGGTTTCGAACTCCTGACCTCAAGAGATCTGCCTTCCTTGGCCTCCCAAAGTGCTGGGATTACAGGCGTGAGCCACTGCCCCCGGCCTTACTCTTGATAGTAATTAATTAATACACTTTTATGTTTGTGTCTCTTTATGCACACCATTTTTTCCAATTAAAAAAGTAATAGACTTTAAGACAATAAAAGAAAAATCACCAGTAATCCTAGTATTCAGATGCATCTCGTTTTTTGTCTTCCCAGCATATTTTATGTTGGGCAAAAATAAGATCAGACTACTATATATACTAACAAGTTTGTTATCTGCATTTCAGATTCAACCCACGATGGACACTTTCCCATGTTGCTAAATCTTTTTCTACTTTATTATCTGCAAAGTATTATAATGAATAAATGGCTTTGCTTTAACATATACTAGGTAGTAAAGCATATTTATATGCTTAAATTAATCAATCTTCCATTGCTTGACAACTTTTTTATTGGAGATAGAGTCTTGCTATGTTGCCCAGGCTGGTCTCAAACTCCTGGGCTCAAGCAAGTTTCCCGAGACAACTGTTTCGTGAAATATTTTTTATTATTTTCTTATTTTAAATAATCATGCTGATTCCAGAAATATTTGAAAATACCGAACAGCCAGGCACCATTAAAAAATCACAATCTGAGTGTCATAAACGGACACAATATTGTGTGAAAGAAACCAGTCACAATGGCCAGGCTCAGTGGCTCACACCTGTAATCCCAGCACTTTGGGAGGCTGAGGTGGGTGGATCACAAGTCAGGAGATTGAGACCATCCTAGCTAACAGAGTGAAACCCGTCTACTGAAAATACAAAAAATTAGCCGGGCGTAGTGACACGCGCCTGTAGTCCCAGCTTCTCGGGAGGCTGAGGCAGGAGAATCGCTTGAACCCGGGAGGCAGAGGTTGCAGTGAGCCGAGATCATGCCACTGCACTCCAGCCTGGGCAACAGAGCGAAACTCTGTCTCAAAGAAAAAGAAAAAGAAACCAGTCGCACAAAAGCATTGACCATATGATCCCCATTTTGAAAAACAGGCAAAATAGAAATAACTGTGGGGATGCATGCTGAGATGATAAAACTATGAAAGCAAGCAAAGAAGTGGGAATATTGTGTATCTGAAATGAAATGGTGGTTCCATGGGTGCTCACCCCATCATCATTCATTGAGCTGCACACTTGTGTGCTTTTCTATATGTGTGTGACCCAGTTTAAAATGTCTCCTAACAGATTGGGATATAGCCTTTCAGTTCAATTTGTACCTCTGATTATATCATACATACTCTTTTGAAACATGTAATTTGTATTTGAAATATTATGGACATCTCCCTTTTGGTCACATAGAATGGCAACTAGAACGGCTGTCATGAAAAACATTAAAAGTACCAAATGTGAGAGAAAATATGGAGAAACTGGAACCTCCATCATTGCTGGTAGGAATATAAAATGGTGCAGCCACATGGGAAAACAGTTTAGCAATTTCTAAAAAATTGAATGTACACTTACCACATGAACCACCAATTTCACTCCTAGGCATCTACACCAGAGAAACAAGGACATATGCCCATACAAACTTTTATATTCAGGTGTTCATGACAGCATTATTTATAATAGCCAAAACATGGCACCAACCCAAACGTCCAAAAGCTGTTGAATGAACAAACTGTGGTCTATCCATACACTGGAATACCATTCAGCAATGAAAAGGGACAACCTTCTCATACCTGCTACAACATGGATGACCCTTGAAAATGTGCCATGTGAAAAGAGCCACACAAAACTATTACACCTTGTATGATTCCATTTGTATCGTCAATGTTGGTGTATAGCTCCATCGCATGGATGTAGCATAAATTCTTTCACCAAGCCCTATTGTTTGATTTGATGTTGTGTCCCAGTTTCCAATATTACAAACAATGCTGTGATGACCATCTTTGTGGCTACGTGTTTGTGGCCATCCTTAATTATGTCTTTACACCAATGTCCAGAAGTGGAACTGGCAGTCTTAAGGTGGGTGCATTTTAAGGCTTCTGGGAACTGTTGCAAAGTAGCCCTGCACAGTTTGCTCAGACTGCACTCCCACCAGCAGAGCAAGAGGGTCCAGGGTCTCCTTTCTCCATTACAGCCCCTCCCTCCTGGCACTGCTCACTCATAGGAGGCTGTCCCAGGTCCCAGGGCCACCCCCCTCACCATACTCTGTATTTGTTTGTAGTTTCCTGGGTGCACTGCCACCATGGCCTGGTTCTCCAACAATGCCAACTGTGGATTTTCAGTCTTCACCCTTGCCACCGTAGGATGGATCCTCTCCTCTATGTCCATGGGCCTTGTGGACTGGCGAACATGGCATGTGAAAGGCACCCCACCCTACCCCCCTGCGGTCGCCTACGTGGGACTATTTAGAGTCTGCATTTACGAGCATCACACCAACAGGACCACAGCCATATTTTGTTACCTATACAGCTCCAAGGACAACTTTCTCCCTTCTGAAATTTACATGGCTCAAAGCTTCCTACTGACTGCCAGCATTTTCGGATTCTTTGGGAGACTCGTTAAAATCTTAGCACTTAGGAACATGTCCTTGGGACTATTTGGGGGCAACACCTACAATTCATTCATTGTTTCAGGAATTCTCAACATTGCTGCTGGTATGTTTATCTTAATTGCTGTGTTCCAGAACTATGATGCTATCATTAATTCAAAGGGGATCACCTTCCCACCATCTTTCCAAATGCCCTTCAAGCCAGATGTGCAGGAAGTCGGCATGGCCATTCAAGTGGCAGGGATAGCTGCCTTCCTGATGCTGTTAAGTGGGATATTTTCTCTGTTGTACAGATGTTCCCTATACGCCCAAGTGCATCCTGAAATTTCAGAAATGTGAGTTTCCTGGTTGCATTGGCTTTGCAAATGCAAGATTTCTGGGAGTTTATGGGAGTGTTATTAGCATGCTCTACCAAATATTTCCAAGGACTCAAGACCATGGAGTGGGTAGTTTGGGACAGAAGGTGGCCAACTGCTTCCTTCTGTTATCTTGTGTATCTGAATGTGGTTCACTGATTTGTTGGTTGAATTGAGAACTTTTATTAAAAAAAAAAATCTTCCCACCTGCCAGTTGGTCTTATTGCAACTGGATTTTAATTATTGTTGGCTAAAGCAAATAACCAACACCATAAATTAAGGGTAGGGAATTAAGAGTTTCTAAGCACATTAACTCTCACATCTCCCTCTTAAACTTTTGCTAAAAACAATCATAGACCAGGCATGGTGACTTACACCTTTAATCCCAGCACTTTGGGAGGCTGAGGCGAGAGGATCACTTGAGGCCAGGAGTTCAAGATCAGCCTGGGCAGCATAGCAATACTTGGTCTCTACAAGAAAAATTAAAAATAAAATAGCTGGGCATGGTGGTGCATGCCTGTGGTTCTAGTTACTTGGGAGGCTGGGGTGGGAGGATCGCTTGAGCCCAGGAGTTGGAGGCTCCAGTGAGACATGATGGCACCACTGCACTCCAGCCTGAGCCACATAGCAAGATCCTGTCTCTTGAAAAACAAAAATCCAATAAACAAAAAACCAAGAATGGAGCTTATTTTCTATGTCATGGTAATAACATCTCTCTACCATGTAAAGTTTTCCAAAATGTGCAAAAGTAGAGAGGATATCATAAGAAATCTCCTCACGTGCATTGCCAGATTCCGCAGTTACTGAGATTCGGCACTTCCGCTTTGTCTTTCCATTCTTTCCCCTTTCTAATCTACATTTCTTTTTCCTATGTTTGTTTGTTTGTTTGTGGGTTTGTTTGTTTGTTTGTTTTGAGACAGTCTCGCTCTGTCGCCTGGGCTGGAGTGTAGTGGCGTGATCTCGGCTCACTGCAACTTCTGCCTCCCAGGTTCAAGCAATTCTGCCTCAGCCTCACAAGCAGTTGGGATTACAAGCACCCGCCATCACGCCCGGCTAATTTTTGTATTTTTTGTAGAGACGGGGTTTTACCATGTTGGCCAGGTTGGTCTCAAACTCTTCACTTCAAGTGATCTGCCCACCTTGGCCTCCCAAAGTACTGGGATTATAGGCATGAGCCAGTGTGCCCAGCCTCTTTTATCTAAGTACTTTAAAGCAAACCCCAGACACCATGTCTCTTTATCCCCATATAATTCCATATTGAACTCTTTAAAAAAGTGGACACTTCTTGCATAACCATATATGTAAAAAACTGAGCAGTTATTTCTCATTATGAAATAGATGTTTAGATGCCTTAAAAATAATTCTGTACCTTTATTTGTCCCACACCAAGTGCTCACTCTGCCTCTGAAGTGTTCATCTAAAACACTGACCCCCCCACTGTGTGCGCGTGTGCATGTGCGTGCACACACACACACACTCACACATAGCAACCCCTCTGCCTTTTTTTTTTTTTTTTTTTTGAATCAGGGTCTTGCTCTGTCGCCCAGGCTGGAGTGCAGTAACATGATCAAGACTTGGTGCAACCTTAACCTCCAGGCTCTGGTGAGCCTCCCACCTCAAAAAGTAGCTGGGACTACAGGCATGCGCCACCATGCCCAGCTAATTTTTTTGTATTTTTGTAAAGATGAGGTCTCACCATGTTGTCCAGGCTGGTCTTGAACTCCTGGGATCAAGCGATCCTCCTGCCTTGGCCTCCCAAGCACTGGGATTACATGTAAGAACCACTGTGCTTGACCTCATCTGCCTTTTTAATAAATGATTTTAATTTGCTGAAGAAAGTGGATTAACTTAATTTATTACCTCTAGAGGCTTGATTAGAGTCCTGGTCTATTCTCAGAGGAAGAGTATTTCATAGGTGGTACCATGTACTTCCTACTGATTGCACTATGCCAGGGGTACATGGTCATTATCCCTTTCAGTGATGCTAAGATTGGTCAGTGGATCTATGAAGGGAATGCCTGATCCCTTTTGTAAGTTTCCTCATCAAACTTCCACTAATGGTTTCATCTACTGATGGTCCTTGTTTGAATAAACTATCACACTGAGAATTGTGAGTAGTGACCTTTCCTTTCTTCCATCCCTCCCCCTCCCTCTCTCCCTCCTTCCCTTCCTTCCTTCCCTTTTTCCTCCCTCCCTTCCTTCCTTCCCTCCTTTCCTTCTCTCCCTCCCTCCTTTCCTCCTCCTCTCTTTCTCTCCCTCCCTCTGTTCCTCCTTCATTCCCTCTCTCCCTCACTCCTTACCTCCTCTCCCTCCCTTTTTTCCTCCTTCTCTTTCTCCCTTCTTCCCTTCTTCTCTTTCTCCCTCCTTCCCCAATTCTTTCCTTCTCTCTATTTCTCTTTCCCTCCTTCCCTCTCTCCTTCTCTCCCTTCTACTTCTCTCCTTCTCTCCCTCCTTCTCCTCTTCTTTCTCTCCCCTCTTCCTTCCTTCTCTCCCTCCTTCCCTCCTTCTCTCCCTCCCTCTTTCCCTCCTTTTCTCCTTCCCTCCCTCCCTCCTTTCTCCTTCTCTCCCTACCTCCTTCCCTCCTTCTCTTCTTCCTACAGGGATCTCTGTCCCCCAGGTTAGATTGCAGTGGTAGGATCATGGGTCACTGTAATCTCGCACTCTTGAGCTCAAGCAACCCTCCTGCCTTAGCCTCCTGTGTAGCTGGGATGACAAGTGGGTGCCACCATCCCCAGCTAATTTCTAATAAGTTTTTGTAGAGATGGGGTCTCATTATGTTGCCCAGGCTGGTCTCCCACTCCTGGCCTCAAGCAATCCTCCTGTCTTGGCCTCCCAAAGCTGCAAGTGGTGACTTTCTAATGTGAACGTTCTAGCCAGATATATCAGCTGAATGCTTTTGTGTGAGGGCTACATGGAGGCTGAAGTGGGAGACTCTCTTGAGCCCAGGAGTTGGAGACCAACCTGGGTAAGACCCCATCTCTAAGAAGAATAAAAAAGTTTTCCCTCATCATCTGTGGCTATTCGGTTACTCTAAAATCAGTGCATACACAAAAAAAGGCAGAGTAAATGCTTCATTCTTTGCTCCAATTGTTGATTTCTAGAGTGAAAAAGGAGAATGTCCTAGTTACCATTAGGGTTAACCAATGTATTGGTTGTTTTTATTATTTCTGTTTTCTTTTTCTTTTTTTTGAGATGGAGTGTTGCTCTGTTGTCCAGGCTGGAGTGCAGTGGTGCGATCTCAGCTCACTGCAACCTCCACCTCCCAAGCTCAAGCGATCCTCTGACCTCAGCCTCAAGAGTAGCTGGGACTACAGGTTCACGCCACCATGCCCAGCTAGTTTTTGTATTTTGTAGAAATGGCATTTCACCATGTTGCCCAAGCTGGTGTCAGACTACTGAGCTCAAACAATCTGCCTGTCTCGGGTTCCTAAAGTGCTGAGATCACAGGCGTGAGCCACTGTGCCTGGCTTCTTTTTCTTTTTTGAGTATCAACTCAACCCTTGAGTATGAATTCATGAAATTGTTTCTGTGTTTTTATTTTGGAAATTTTCAAGTGCATTCCAAAGTAGAGAAGCTATGGCCTCAGCCACAATCATTATCAATATCTGACCCACCGTGTTTCAGCCCTACCCTTCCTCCCTGTCCCATCTCCAGCTTGGATGATTTTAAATAAATCCCCAGCAATATGTTATTTTATCCACAAATACTTTTATATGTATCTCTCAAAAATACAGACCTCTTATTCTTTTTAACATAACCACATTGCCACTATCACACCAAACAGTTAACTTCTTTTTACAATTTGTATATATCTATACATATATATACATACACACACAAATTGAGACGGGCATCTCGCTATATTTCCCAGGCTGGTCTCGAAGTTTTGGGCTGAAGCAATCTGCCCACCTCGGCCTCCCAAATTGCTAGGATTACAGGCATGAGCCACCATGGCTGGCCAGTCACTGCTTAATATATTCAAATACCCAGTCAGTGTTCACATTTCCCTAATTACCTCATAAATGTTTATAAGAGTAACCTGTGGGTTTTTATAAGTTCCAAATGTTTCACTCAATTGCATTCACCCTTCCCATTTATGATCGAATTGTCCCATCTTTGGTAGTAAAGCTGTGGTGGCATGTGTGTCCTTTGACATGTCCTCATTGGCTTTTTTTTTAAGATTAAGAAAACCTCTTTATTCAGGACAATCTTAACATACTATTTACCTCAAGCAACTCTTCACTTTATCAATAAAATTCACTCTACAAAATAATTGTCCTAAAGAACAAAATGGTAAGGAGAAGGACATATCAACAATACTGTTTGCTACACTCATCAGGTGATAAGGAGAGAGATATTGAAATTAAAGCATGTTTATTTACTCTACATCTAATTACCTTTTGTACTAGTGGTTTGTGACCTCATGGAAATTTCTCCCAGAAGAATGTCCATACACACAAATTATGCACAGGTTCTCAAAACTCTCCAGGAACCTAATCTTGGATTTCGTTTTCAAAATAAGTGACAATTTCCAAAAGTTATTTTTTTTTTCATTTTCTTTCCTTTTTATTTTATTTATTTATATATTTTTTTGAGACAGAGTCTCCCTCTGTCACCCAGTATGGTACAGCGGAACAATCTTGGCTCACTGCAATCTCTGTCTCCCAGGTTCAAGCAATTCTCCTGTCTGAGCCTCCAGAGTAGCTGGGATTACCAGTATACACCACCACGCCCAGCTAATTTTTGTATTTTTAGTTGAGATTGTGTTTCACCTTATTGGTCAGCTGGCCTCAAACTCCTGACCTCAGGTGATAGGTGATCCACCAGCCTTGGCCTCCCAGAGTTCTGGGCTTACAGGTGTGAGCCACCGTGCCCAGCCCCCAAAATTATTTTTTTCATGTACAGTCTAGAAATTCCCTCATCTCATAATCTGAAGCTTATTTTTTAAACAAATTAACTTTACCAGTTAAAAACCTTCCTAGAATATTAATGAGCACATATATATTTTGCTGAAACCCGTTTTATTAAAAAGCTTTGAGTATTGGTTTCTACATTTAAAGTTTAGGAAAAAATAGGAATTTTAATAAAATTGAATTGATACCAAAGTCATTTTCCATTCTTCCAAGAAACATGACTAAAAATTATGTTAATATTTATCCCAGGAGCACAGCAAACTCTACATGCAGTAAGATCATGTAGCAGTTTTATGGATGTCATTCCCATAATTTGCATGGTAGCAGTGATGTTGTCCCCATTACGCTTTTTGTCTTGTTATTAAAAATATTTTAATAATATTTTAAATAACATTTTGTTGAAGTATAATTCACAGA